TGAAAAGTTACACATAACCCCTAGACTTGATTATGATACTGCACTGGGTGTTCGATTGGACTGTCTTTGATATGCCAATCAATAAAATCCATTAAGGGTCAAAACCTGGGTATGTTGGGGCAGTCTAGGAATTCATTTGAGTGGATGATCATAGTGATTGGAAGGCTTGTTTGCACTATTGTGTCCACTAGAACCCTTTGGCTTTCTTTAGAGCTTTGAACATGGGCATCTTTTAACACCAAATTCTTTATTGCAGGGTTTTTTCCAATTAATAACTTAAATATAATAGTTAATAAAATGGAATGGAAGTTAATGAAAGAAATATGAGTAAATAAATTTCAATATAAAAGGCCTTAAAAATAGGAGTGGCTAATACACTTGAATATATTAGCCACCGACATGGACCATATAGTGATTGTATGGATTGATCTAGTGGACATGAGTCGAACGGAATAAAGTTTTAACCATTCCACCCATGCCATGTATTAGTAGCTTCCAAGGTTGATATGTGTCGATACTTTGAACATTGATACTAATCAAATGCTTAATAAACATGTAATGCGATTGAACTTGTTTATAGTTTCCTATTAACTATTTTTCTAACCCCAAATACTATCTTGGTTGATAGATAGTCACTATTAAATTTTATTGATGATATCCAAAACAAAAAACCTATGAAGGGGACATAAAAACCTCACCCCTCTATAAAAACCATACAAGGAGAACTTCAGCACAAAATAAATGATTAAAAGTTCGAAAATCCCAAAAGTAGTAGGCCAAAGTGAAACCAGAAAACCATATGCATAAAAGGGAATTTACAACAATCCTTCTTAATCTTCATTGGATATCACATGGAATATCATCAAATTACTTGAAGCACTTGATTGCTTGGAGATTACAAGCAATATTGGCTACTACAACAATAACACAATTTCCTTTTATATATACTAGAAAGTGCATTATAACTCATGCAGCTTCTGATGATATCATCAATAAGATTTGCAATGGTCTAAGGAGCATAACCTATTCCATTAAGGGCACTTATCAACATTAGAATGATTTTCAATAATCACCTTGGAAAACTTCACAGTTTCTAAAATGTTCTTGGCTTCCATGATAGTCTCTAATAAACTGTTTATGAGAAGCCTATTAGGCTCATCTTTACACTATTTTGGGTTTAGGTTTCGGGTAGCTCTCTTTCAAATTTTGGCAACACTTGACTCATGAACAAGTCTAATCTTTAAATACCCCTCCCCCACCATATGTCCTTTAGTTTTGTAAAGATATTGGGTCAGATGGGCCATAGTCCTTTTCTTTTATTTTTAGCACTATTTATGTCTTATGTCTTTATTAGTGGGCCTTAGTTATGGGCATGTTACTTTTCTTATTGTTTTTATTGGGCTAGCCGCCCTATTATGGGTATACTTGTAATTGTATCCAAACTACAATTATTTTCTTATTGTCTTATTCTCCCTTTTGAACACTTTTCTTCTTCTTCTTCTTCTTCTTCTTCTTCTTTATATTTCATAGTTATTATAAGCATGATTCACAACTTGGTATCAAAGTAGGTTTTTTGGAGAAGAATTCAGCTTTTGTGATTTTGGATGCTTTATTCAGATGTGTAGAGGCCATACTATTTACACTGTATGAGTAGTTATAAATACTTTATTTTGTTTATTGATGGTTTTTCTTGTTATACTTGGCTTTATCTTACATGATCACATATTCAAGTGCCAAAACTTGTGAAACAATTTCATGAATTTATACTTACCCAATTTGATATCCGCATCAAAATATTTCAATTAGACAATGCTAAGGAATATTTTGAGAAAGACCTTGCCTTATACTTTGAGAGATTTGGGGTTGTGCATCAAAGTTCTTGTGCTCGTACTCCACAAGAAAATAGAGTAACAAAGAGGAAAAACCTACATGTTGAAGTAGCTAGGAGTATTCTTTTGCCTTTCATGTTCTTGTGAGATTTTGGGTGATGTTGTCATGATAGCTACTTATTAACTACATGCCTTCTTAACACCAATAAATAATTTGATTTCCATCACATTTTCAGCCTAGGAATTCAAGAATTCAACATAGAACAATTTTAAATAATATAAGAGAATATAAAGATTAATTTTCAGATGATTGGCTCCATCTGAGAACCAATTTCTCAGAGATTTTTGTTAACTAGGTCAAATCAGCTAGACTAATTATTGTCGATTTGATCTTTGGTTCAAATCTGATTCGATTCAACCCAAGAACTGAACCTAGTAATCTAATACCACTGTTGGAAGGGTTAGAATCCATCATATATCATTACATTTCAAAATCTGAAATACATAGATATATCATTGATGAATTAAATGAAAAAATAAATGAATTTTCCCTCATATCCTTGATTCCAATGAACTTTTCCATTTATTTATTTCAAATGTTCAAGTTTTATTGCAGAAGGAAATTCTCCCATAGGCATCTAAGATGAATATGGAAGGCTTGGAAGTAAGAAAATGTGCTAAAAAATATAACTATTAATCAAAATCATTCTACTGGCATATAGGGGTGCAACTTGGGCGAGCCCAACCCAAATCTGGACTGACCCAACCTGAAATTTTTACATAAGTTGGACTTGGATTTTCAGTCCTCAAGCTGGGTTCAGGCTCAAGAATTTGGGCTTTTTTTTCAGGTTGGGCCTGTGCATAGCCCTTAGGTAGCCCAACCCAATTATACACATATGTAAATTTTTGCATGCATATATATATAGATAGATAGATAGATAAAGGTATAAATATAGATATATATTTGCAAGTATATATATATTTATATACATACATATATGTATACATATTTGCATAAATACACACATATATATATAATTTTAGAACCGGTTCATTGACCAACACAAGCCTGGCCAGGGCTCTCGAATGCATCAAATTACAATGCGGATTAGGCTTGGGTTGAAAAGATCGAACTTGACCTTGGGCTCGGACTTTAAAGCCCAAATTTTAGGGTTGGGCCTGGGTTGACCATAAACCCAGCCCAACCAGTCCAACTTGCACCTCTAGCGGCATATAATCCATATCAGTCCGTATGAAATGGATGGCCATCAATCCCATTTCACTCATGCCACATGCTGATTATTGTGAACAGAGATACGATATGCCCCCATAAGATGAAATTACGAAGACTAAGATGACCTATAAAGCCTCCATCCCTAATGCCCAGAAATCTGCAATAAGATGCTAGGACACCTCAGGAGGGGGGCTGTCAAAATGCAATAGAGAGATGATGCTTTCTTAAGACCTAATTTCACGAATACACCGAACACAAACACTTCCCTCCCAGTAAGGCTGCAACAGTGTTGTAAACAAACTTCACAGTCGCTATCCAACAATTCCAAAGTGCTTTGAAACAAGTATGTTTTCTTCCAATTTTGGGCAGTTTCTTTGCTGAAGATTTGTTGATAACATGTTAAAGGACCACCCTCCGGGACCCTTCCTGCCAAGCCAAACAAAGCCCATAATAGATGCCCCACAGTTCAGCCATAATTCCCAATTTGAGAGTTAATCTACCTGAGCCATCTTCCATTAGGGTCACAAATGAGGCCTCCTGCAGCAGCAGGGTCTGGGTTGCCTTCTATTCCATCATTTTTCAATATCTTCCCAAGGTTTAAAGTATTAGAAACGTAAATTTTATCAGAAAGACAATTTTAAGAGACATATCGGGATACACTTTAGATATGTATGGATACGGATGAAGAATCAAGATACACATAAATATAGTAGAAAATTCAAATAAATCTTAAAAAATATATTACAAACAATATTTACAAATTTTATATGATTGTAAATAAGCCATTTAAATGTAAAAAAATAATTTAATGATTTATATAAAGTGTGACATATCGGGACACAATTAGTAACCGTTGAAAATGATGGAATAACTAAAATGTAAAAAAAAAAACTAAAATGTGAATGTCAATTTTCAAAAAAAACAATATAACTAATCTTAATATTTATTAGTATATAAATTTTAATAATTAATTCTAGCATTTATTAATAAACACTTGTCACTCATTAAGAAAATTGAATTTACTTAACATTAAAAACATATATAATAATAGCAAACAAATGTTTGTGGCTCATTGGCAAATTTGTGGTTGTAAAAATCAAGTGACCAAGGTTCAAATCTTGCTATTTCTAAAATTTGAAATTTTTATACTAACAAAATGAAATTAATGAGAGGAGATCCTTAATTGAAGGAATTAATGAGAATTTGAATTAGGTGTTAAAATTCAAATTTAAATTTAAATTTACTTTGAAGTAATTAACTAATTAATGAAAGAGAAATTAGACTTAAATACAAAATAAATTAGGTTGCTTCCTATTTGAACCTTACATTTCCCAATTGCTTCCACATGGTTTACAATTCCCATAACTATTATTTTTATGTTTATAGCTTCATTAAAGATCATCTAAGACCTAAATTCAGTATAATTAATGCAACTTTTGGAACTTAATTGAGTTTTCCAATGTATCTCTACGTATCCTGAATTTTTTCAAGGGAAATGTATCTTAATTTTTTCACCGTATCCATATCGATTCAAATATATTCTGATATATATCTTAAAATTGCTTTTCCCACATTTCTTGCATTTTCAATCCTTTAAAACATGAGGATATTCTACAACAATTCGGACATACACAGCTAGAGCTATTTCCGAAACATAAAGACCACCTTGACAATTTAAGAAAAGCATACACTTTCTCTCCAACCAAAATTAAAAAAAAAAAAGACAAAAATACATTTTTCTGTACTGATACATTGAAAACTGAAATGCACTACTAAGCTATTAATTTTGCAACATGAACAACTCTATAAATCTGTATGTTTGCTGAAGGTGTAATATTTGCAGATGAAGGTGCATTTTATAGTTTGGGAAGGGGGAGTTGTTAGTGTGGTGCCTATCACCAAATACCAAGAAAAAAAAGTGCATTTTGTAATAACGATACTGAAAAATGTTCTCTATACCATCTAATTGCTGACGAAAAACATAGAACCACCATTCTATTAACACAAACATGAAACAACCAAATAATTTCAGAAAAAAAAAAAGAGCCCGTATAATGCAAGGTTCCATCTATTACAGACTTTGCTTTGTCATAAAACAATCAAAAGCCCTAGAATTTCTACGGAATACCAAATATGGGTACAACAAAATAATTTACATTTGGACCAGAAAGAATGAAAAATTCTGCTGCTCAACGAACACGTGGAGATCGTCTGTGGGATGGCAAAGGAGAAGCACTTGGTGTCAGATTCATTGCTGAATGGTGGTGTCTAAATGGAGATTTAGGGACAGAATTAGAGATTTTCTGTTCCGACTGGGTGTTCTTTGCATTCTTCGGGGCTTGGAGCTGTTCCAGTATTACCAAAACCTCAGACATACGAGGCCGGGCCTTGGCTTCAGTACTGAGGCACTGTAAGGCAAGGGTGGCAGCTTGATAGGCTCCTTTCTGGGGATACTGGCCCTCCAATTTGGTATCCATAATCCGGAACAATTTGCGCTTGTCACCCAAATATGGCTTTGCCCAGTCCACCAGGTTCTGCTCTATGCCAACTTTTGATTTATCAACAGCACGACGCCCAGACAACAATTCCAAAAGAACAACCCCAAAGCTATAAACATCACTTTTTGCAGACAACCGACCTGTTCATCATTGCAAGTGTTAGTGCATGGTTATTAAACCTACAAGATCTCTTTCGCCTTAGTAGGGCATTCACCAATCAAGTTCCAACTCTGGCTTGTAGCCACCTGTACTTAGGATGAGGACCTTTTCATGCCCCTCAAACTACTATTTTGAGGAACCTAAATCCCACAAGCATGTAGTAATAAGAAACCTTGATACCCTGGTGTAACCAGGCTAAGTCATTAAAATGGCCGACACAGCGGGCTGAGAAATGTTTTGGAAAATGTGCATGTAAAGTTGTAAACTACCAAGAATATGGATCGCCTGGATACATTCAAACAGTAAAGGAGACTTAGGAGCAGGTAGGCACACAGGATGAGCATACAGAGTACGCACAGGAAATTTTGTGACACTTGTCCCATTAAATATCCTCAGCTTACCCTTAAAATGATTTAAGGGGCATGCAAGGTTTTATTTCCTTTCTGGCACTAGTAAGTTTTCATTCCTCTAAAATATTTTCGCATAGAAGCAAACTATAACATCACAGAGGGGCAGCAAAAGAGTAAGTAGCAATAATCAGCCCCCCAAACTTTTATTTGTGACAAAGAGACAACCTTAACTTTCAGATTCCAGCATTTAGCCCCCCACCGCATTAATAGACTTGCTGGAAAAGGGGTAAACTTTATTGGCAATCTGTGCTACATGCAGTAATGTGGGGAGTTTGGGATGAAAGAAACGAATGCCTATTTGACAACAAATTCAGGCCCCTCAGAGTTAATTTCAGATATCACCTACCTCTGTAACCTCTGGACTGCCAATCCAGATCTGTTCAAAGGACTCTCAGGCAATGATCTCAATAGAGATGCTCACTCTTTCTTTTCCTTCCTCACCCTCAACAAGCAATATTGAGGCAGCCAGCTGTTTTCAGTGATGGAGTGGTGACTCTAAACTTTGATGAAAGTGCTTTAGGTAATCCTAGCTTAGCTGGAATTGGAGGCATGGTAAGGGATGAAAGGGGTAACATGCTGGACGTTCAGTGGTCCAACCGGACTGGCTGATTCACAAAGGTTGAAGTGATGGCTGTACTCACAGGAATTAGATTAGTAAAAATATTGGGAATTCAGAACTTAATCATTGTAGGTGACTCAGCAAATACTATAAAATGGTTAAAGGGCAAGGAGGGGGGGGGGGCCTTGGAGACGGCCATTTTTTGGAAGAGGCTAGGGACTCCTTGGACTGTTTAAACGCAAGATTAGATTGGATTCCTAGGGAACTAAATCATATAGCAGATGGTTTAACCAGATGTGGGGTGTATTTGGATTACTTGTATAGTGACAAGCTTCCTGTGTAATCTTTTGGGGATCCTCCCCTGTTTTGTACATCTCGTGTACTTCTTTCTTTAATGAAATTTGGTTAAATTTTCCTCAAAAAAAGATAAAATTAGGATAACGCCCATTCAAAATTCTGGATTGTTTTGTAATTTTTTGTCTGTACTTTTTCTTTGTCTGCAATTTTCTGTATTTTGTTGTATTTTCTTAATTACCTTTTTGTTGTTTTTTGCAATCTCAGTGTTTTTTGTATTTCCTCTTTTTTGTTATATTTTCTGTGATTTTCTGTTTTTTTTTGTATTTTGTTTTATTCTCCTTTTTATTTCTTGTATTTCCTGAATTTTTTCAAGGGGTTTCTTCAGTTAGCTCCCCCTTAAAAATCAAAATCTCAACTAGCATGGTACGGAAACCAAAAACCATGCCAGCGCCAGCCAACAAATTGCAAATTTGTTTCACCTCCTCCCCCCACGTCAGCATAAAAAATTTATCATTATACCCCTGGACCCCAAAAGAGTTGTCTTCGAAATTAATCTGGCCGTTGAAGCACTGCTCTGTTCGAAAAACCTCTCAGCGTGGAAGCTCTGTTCGAAAACCGAAACCTTGTTCTTCCCTATCTCATCCGGTGAATATCCCGATCGTTTCGTCTCCCCAGCTCATCCGGCAGCGACGTTAGTTTCGGTTGAAGCTCTGCTCTGTTCAAAAAACCTCTCGGTGTTGAATCTCTGTTCAAAAACGTAACCTTCTTCTTCCCCATCTCGTCCGGTGACTATCCCAACCGTTTCGTCTTCTTCCCCATCTCGTTCGACAAAATATTTGGGCGTTGAAACCATGGTCGAAAACACAAGGATTCTCAGAGCCCCCTTGTGTTTACCGGTTACCAGCCGTCGACGGCACTCTACATTCACCATTCGAAGGAAGCTCGAGGGTCGGTTTACTATACACCGACCGTCAGAGGCACTCTACATTGACTGTTGAAAGGAGATCGAAGCTAGGTTTAGCGGCTGTTGGAAGGATTCTAAGGCCCCTTGCGTCTAACTCACATGGAGGCCCTGTTTTCCCTATGTTGCCGACTCACTCTAGTTGGATGTCCCCTGTGTTTCTGGCTAACTTCGATGTTTTAGCATTCCGTTGGCCACCCATGCGAAGCCTTTCCAGCTCGTTGCACTCTTATGGGTCATTCTCAATCAGTATCAATGATTGACCGTTCAACCCCCTAATTCAATTTACTTTGTTACTTGATTTTTCTTGGTTGATTGTCGAAAGGACTTCTGTAAATGAATTGTTTAATGTTAATTAAGATATGGATGTTGTTACCGTGGGATATTTAACATTTGTAGGCATGAATAGCGAACGAAGTGTCGAGAATCAATCCCCTAGTACTTTGCAGTATGATACTAAGTATTGCTAATGCAAACGGAAATGCATCCCTCGAATTTCAACAACCCGGAATAACCCGCATAAGTTGTTTTATAGTTGTCAATTAAAATCTGAGGTAATATTTTCGGTGGGACGATATTATTTGTTAGCATTGATAATAAAGCATGTACATTAGAAGTCATATGTGTTGCACTTGCAAGAACAGGTGCTGGATAGCCCAACGACTAAAAGTGATTTTGTTGGCGGTTGCAAATTTTTTGAGTGGGCGATTCCTCGAGGTTGGTCGGATGAGGTTATATCTACAAGTAGGTATGGTGATGTTGTGGAATGCCTTGGAAATGTGGACAAAGCAGTTGATGTTTGCATAAAGCAAATTAAGTTCATGAAATCAACCCATGAGTTAGTTGTTAAAAGTATAGCTACAGTTAGGCGACTTGTTTTTGTTCTTTTTGTTATTATTCTCCTAACACTGGTCTTCTGGAAATAGTTTATCATAAGTGGTGAATATGTTGGTTCAGCGTTTTTATGATTGTGTTAGAAGACTTCCCTCCTTTTGTTTTCATATTGGTAAACCATTTTGGCGTTTTGTTGTAGTTATGTTGAACTTTTAAATATAAAAATATAAACATAATTTATTTTGTTCACTAAGAAATATTTGTATATCCATCGAATAGACGTTCTTGTAGGAGATAGAGAAACTTAGGCTCACAGAGAAGCCGATGGTGGGAAATATTGCTTTTGTAGAACCATTGTTTCCCATTGATGGTCTGGGTCGTTAGGCCAAGGGGCGACCAAAAGGTGTGAGGATGCTTGGTAGGTCAGTGGCAGTAGGAGGGTGTGGGTATGGTGGCCACCGCACACCTCCACACCCGTCGGAGCTACCAATCGGTGAACCTAGGTAAACTAGCGGAGGTTCCACTTCCACGGGGTGGGGAGAGGTCTCCAAGACGTTCCTAAAGGAGGCAAAAACACACCAAGCCAACGAGGAATGTCGACGATGGGAAACGATGCTTTTGTAGAACCATTGTTTCCCACTATCAGTCCAGGCCGTCGGCCGGGCGACTAGAAGGTGTCAAGATGCTTGGTGGGTGAGTGGCAGTAAGAGGGAGTGGATGTGGTGGCCAACGAACCCCTCCACACCCAACAGAGCAGCTTCCAGGTGATTCTGTCATTTCCGACACAGTCCTAGGGGGGGCACAGGGGTAGACAGGCGGTGGTACCATCTCCATGGGGTGGGTAGAGGTCTCCTAGACGTCCCTAGAGGAGACAAAGACGGCCCGGGCCAACGGGAAAGGCCGATAGTGGGAAACAGTGCTTTTGCAGAACCACCATTTCCCACCATCGGGCCGATGGGCGACCGTAAGATGTCAGGATGTTCGGTGGGTGAGTGGTAGTAGGAGGGTGCCGTACCACCTCATAAATTGAAGTAAATTTAATTGTTAGGTGTGACGTGCAAACCTATACTATATTTTTGGTACGTAGACATATAAATAAACCTAAGGGAATCCAATTGGCATGTGTAAAGTGCAAGTATGTATCAACAGTACACGACTACATCCATTAAAATTTTCACATAGATGTTATACTAGCATAAAGGAAAGGGAAGGTTCCTAACACCCCTAATGGGGGTGGTTCCACGCTGTTGGGATAGTATTTAGGTTGAGTGGGGGTGGGAGCAGTAGGGAGTAGGGAGTAGGGACGATCAAAATATATGGCCAATAAATATCATTAGTCCCTTCACGGTACCAAATGCACCGATGGCGACCACAAGGACCGTTATCCTCACTTTGCAGGTTGTTGCTCGATACACTAGTTTCGGTTCATGCCCTCATCTCTGTGACCTCGCATCCAAGTTCCAAATTTTGCTGTCTCAAAGCTAAATTCTCCTGCATCAAAGCATCCACGTCTCTCTGTAGGTTCCAACTGTGCCAAAGAACGTGGCAGTATTCTGGGTATGTGACATCAACCACACAGACGCAGTGGGCTTCTTTGATGTGGTAGATTCCTATAACAACCGTTGTTTGTATGCTAGCTTCCAGCAATGGACGAAGTTCACCGGTAAATGATAACCCCGTGCCCATGTATGTTGAAGACCACAGTTTCTTAATAGAAGCCCTTTCTGGCACTCACAATCCACTCTTCATCCTGTGCGTTCAATTCACGGAGGATCAAGTTAAGCAACTCCCACTATGGAATAATTACAATGGTAACATCATTGTGCTCCATCGTGGACTTGAAAAAACAAAACAAAATTTGGTTAGAATATTAAGTGTGTTAACCGAATTCATGATCCACCCCATTTATAAATGTTTTAA